GAAAACGGTACCTTACTCCTGTGGTCTTCCTCCCCCAAACCTATAACCTCTATGTAACCACAAGTACAACCTCAGATAAACTCCAATTGAAAGACATTCTACCAAATGCCTGCCCTGCATTACTCAAAAATGTTAAGGTGAGGTATTGGTTCCCCTGTGTTTACTGTCTGCCTTCTGCTCACAGTAGCCACTTGACAAGGCTCTCCAGATTTGAAAAAAGAAAATGTTAAGGCAATCAAAACACAAGCAAAATCCGAGGAACTGTCACAGCCAAGAGGAGCCAACAGTCATGATGACGAAATGCAATATGTTCCTCTGGATTAAATCCTGCCACAACTAATGAATCAATATTGACCTTTTATTAGCTGTAGTCCATACTTTATTTGAATTTCCTGAGTTTTTACCTGGGTGGAGAGTATACAGCAACTCTGTAATATTCTTGTAATTTGACTATGAATCTAAAGCTACTGAAACTTAAAGTGTAAAGAATGAGAATGTTAACAATGACCATTTCTAATAAGATAATGAATGTTTTGCTGCTTATTTCCTTCTTCTGGGCTTTCTGCATTCTCTATGGTAAGTGATTTTACCTTGAAAAATCAAGAAATATAAAATAAGAAATGCAGATACTTTATTTGCCTGTCATTCCCATCAGAATGTGAGCTTCTTGAGGGCTGGAGAAGTATGTTTTGCTCACTTTCGTTCCCTACATCTAGCACTCAGATAACACAGTATAGGTGTTCTCCAAATATTTAAATGAATAATATTCTTTTCTTACTACAAGCATATAGGCTCTTATTTAATGTCCAATTTCTTAGCAAACTTGACTATCTGTCTCCTAGGATATAGTGGATTAGAAATTACAACCTCTACAATTAATGGAATCCTACTAGAGGCTCTCTTTCAATGACAGCAACAATTATTTTTATTATCTTAAATAATTTGGGCCCCATGTCAATCCATTATTTGACATATATTGAGCAGTTGCTATATGTACAGGGTTCCCTTTTTTGAAGTTTTAAATATAATTTTTCTTTATGGATGAAGACACAGATTCAAAAACTGAATTTCCCAGGTCATAAACAAAAGCTGGGTAGATTGCTAGAGGTAAAACACATTGACCTCAATGAGAAGCAAATGCTTGCGACAGAATTGGGACAGTGGAGACTGGGAAACTTCAGAATTAGGCCCACAACCTCTACTGTACATTACAGCCTAATACAGGCTTTGAGTCTTCAAGGAAGTTTAAATTTGGATTAGAATTCCCTATTTAAGGTGTCAGGATCTTTTACAGTGTCTAGCATTTTCCACCAAAACTGGCAGAAAAAAGCTAGGTGTGGTGGGGCACTCCCGGGCTGTGCTGTGAGACCCTATCTAAAGAAAAGAAAGGAAGGGAGGAAGAAAGAAAGAGAAAGAAAGAAAGAAAAGGAAGGAACTGTAGGCAAAATGTTGGCACCTAAAGAGATAATTGTTAGGCTATCCAGCAAATTCTCTTTTGCAGAATACAATCCGATGATATTGAATAAACACAGCAAATATGTTTTTCTAATCTAATTATGCAAGCTTCTTCTAAAGGATCTACTCTGTCCCAGGCTCAGGACTAGATACTGGGGAGGACACAACTTTTACCTTCATTAAATGACCACTAAGAGTCATTCTGGCTTATGTCTTTTGGGATGTTAAGATGTTACAAATTTAAAAGGCTAAGGGTGTAGCCCAGTGGTAGAGTGCTTGCCTAGCGTGTGCAAAGCTCCGGGTTCACTCCAAAAAAAGTTTTAGCTTGCTATGGTAGTACATGGAAAGCTAAGATAGTTTAAGGCCACCCTGGGCTACCTAGTGAGACCTGTCACAAAACAAACAAATAAAAAACATATAATCCCTATCCCAACAAAAAAGAAAAAAAAATGTCCTGAGGTTAAGAGGAAAAGCGTGAAGCATTAAAGTGGGACTTTATTAACCATATGACCTTATGTTCCTAACAAGAGGCTCCTTGCTGGGAGCCTGTGGCTCACACCTGTAATCCTAGCTATTCAGGAGGCAGAGATCAGAGATTGTGGTTCGAAGCCAGTCTGGACAAATAGTTCACAAGACCTTATCTTGAAAAACTCTTCACAAAAATAGGGCTGATGGAGTGTCTCAAGGTGAAGGCCCTGAGTTCAAGCCACAGTACTGCAAAGAGAGAGAGAGAGAGAGAGAGAGAGAGAGAGAGAGAGAGAGAGAAGCTCTTTATTTTGAGATACTCTAAATTGTGTCATGTCAGGTGTGATTTGTATCAAAATTCTTCACCCAGAAAAATAATTAGCAATGAGAAATTCAGTGTTCTGTTTTCACCTCTTATACCATAGAATTCAATGCCAAAGTTGTACAATTGTTTCTACATGCTTGTTAAACTTAATTAACATTTGGCAAGTATCTGAATAAAAAAAGGCATCCCTCAGGCAGAGTGGCTCACGTGGTAGAATGCCTGCCTAGCAAGTGCAAAGCCCTGAGTTCAAACCCTAGCACCATCAAAAGAAAAAGTATTCCTCCATTTATAAGGCTGAGAATCTTATTGCTTAGGCAAAAGGCATGGTCATGCATTCATTCAGTCATTCAACAAACACTTGGCAATTTATTCTGTGCTAGATATCAAAACACAATAGCTAACAAAATAGTCAAGGAACTTACAAGTGTGGTGGGAAGGACAGACATTACTGAAATTATACACAAATTATCCATCACAAACTGTAAGGGCCAAAAATTGACTCTTACGTTACAGCACACTGTTTAGGTTCCAAAGGGATTTTCACACATCTGACCTCAAGGGAAGTTGTAAAGTCTAAGGGTTAATAGTATAGATTTTAGACCTGGTTTGCCTACTTACTCACAAACTGGATTCTTGGGCAAGATTCTGAGTTTCAGTTTCATCATCTTTAATGGGAAAAAATAGGACATTCCTCACAGGGCTGTTATGAGAATAAAATGAGATAATGCACGTGAAGCACTTAGCACCACCTGACATATGACTGTTAAATAGTAGCTGTTTTTTCTTTTATCTTAAATGCCATTCTTTTTAAAAATCTTTTTTAATAACTATTATTATAGGGCAATTTTTTTCTTCATTGCATTTTTTCTTATATCTCCCTCTTCTTCCAGAGGAAGGCAGTTTTGAAATGAGATTTGGGTTCAAATCTCTTTTCTGTCACTTGCTAGGTGTAGAATGGAACTAACAATACCTATCTCATAGCATTTTTCATGAATGCAAATAGGGTGAGTTTACAGGGAGTCACATGAAAGCCTAACACATATTGACTTTGGAATCAATCTTTTGACTTAGGCGTCAATCCTCATCCTTCATTGGGTTAACAATGGTCAGAAAAACGGGGATCCCTTCATTCAAGCCACATCAATTTTAGGCAGAAAAAAACTCTCGGGATCCCTGCCTTAAGAGGGAGCGATAGAGCTGGTCAACAAGACAGCCTGCCCTGTTAAATACTGAAACCTTGAGAGAAACAGAGAAAGAGCACAGAAAGTGTTGAGGAAAAATTTTATCTCTTCCCTTCTAGGATTTTGTTTGGTGTGAGCTACATCCCACATTTCCAACTTCTTTTTGGTTTTCTGTTTGTTTGTTTGCTACACATGAGAATTAATTTGGCATATGACAGATTAACAGGAGAAAAGCATACTGTTTTATTTATTTAATACATAAATCCTGGAAACCTTCTAAGGAAATGAAGATCCAATGAAGCAGTTAGAATCAATAATTTATACACTGAATTGAACAAAGAACAGTACACTGAGATGTGCTAAGGTGAAGGGGCTTGGAGCAGAGCAGTACATTGGAAAAAGAAGTGACTAGGAAGATAAGCGTGAGTGTAACAAGGTTTGTGCAGATTTCCCTGAGCGTCAACCTTCTGTCCTTGATAAGAATGTAACTTTCCTTTTTGCATAGGGAAGACATTTTTCACATGAGAATTTTATTCCTGCTTTTAAGATAGAGAAGGAAGGTCAAAGTGATCTTCTTGTACCTGCTTTTTTTTAATGTGCCTTCAATTCTAAGTAGTCGATATGCCACAGAGCATATTTTGGGGTGGCATATTCTTAACTCCTTCAAAGCAAGCCCAAGTCCCCTGGATTTCATGAGAGGAGGCACTTGCGTCATCAGACTTGCATATCAGGAGCTTACGGAGCCAGCTCACAATGCTCTTATTGGATGTGTGTTGATATGGGGTTTTCATGGATAGACCAAAGGCAATGACCTTAGATATTGGGGAGTGGGATTTGAGAAACAGCCATTCAACTTCAGAGAGGAGATGAAATAAAGGTCACCTCGAGGTCTCTTCCATTGCAAGCTGCCAAATTGCTCTGTGACTCTGGGACCATGGTGGGCCTAGGAAGTGGAAGTCAGCAATTCTGAAGCATAAAATCAGAAAGTCACTGAATGTTTGGATGCAGAGCCAGGTCCCAGAAAGAATGTCTCTTTGTCTCCAGGCCATCTATGCCAAAGCAAAACTCATTTATCAGCATCTCCTTAAAACTGCAAGGGAGAGTCTAAAAAGTTTAAGCAACAAAAAAAGAGTAAATGGGAATTGATTATTCATTAGCATCATTATTAATTCAAGAAGTATAAAATGTTTTTGCTAATCTCTTTATCTAGAGAGCTGATTTTATTATTTTAGTTTACTAAACATAAATACATATGAGGGCTTAGTCCCCCTAAGTGCATTTTTCCTCTACTTTTTTGAGAGTAAATGTTTCAAGTTGTCAGTCATACATTCTCATAGTGATTTTCAGGTCTTAACCGTCATGAAAGAGGATGGGGGTATTTGAGCCACTTCATGTTGTAGTACAAGAATAGTGAGATCCAGGCAGTGGACAGGGAGGAGAATTTCAAGAGTATTGGCGTCATCCTCTTATACTCAGCCTTCTCATAAGGCTTGGTCAGCATTGACTGCATTTTATTGTCTTTAAGAAAACACAAGTAATTTTTGGATGTTGCTTTTTTCTCCTTTACTCCACAGATGGATGGAAAAAGCGATGGGTGGAATCTAAACATCAGCCAGATTATGGTAAATTTCAGCTCACTGCTGGAAAATTTTATGGAGACAAAGAAAAAGATAAAGGTAAATACTGAAATTCAGGAATATACCAATTGTCTGGAAAATATTCTTTTATATAATTATTTTTACCCATGATCACCAATTCATCTCTAAAAAATTAGTAGGTAGGAAAGAATGGATTTTCCACAAACATAATAATGTTCTTTTATTGAATAGCTGGCATTTAAAATAAGCCCTTAGGTGGCACGGATTAAGCAGTAGAGTGTCAGTACCACTTACAAAAACAAAAACTAAGTCCTTACACACATTATCCCATTAATCTTCCTGACAACTTTGTAAGGTGATTACTATTACTTTCCCAGTTTTTCAGAGAATCCTCAGAGGTTGTTATTGACCTAAAGCTATATGCACAGCTTTTAAGAGGTGGAACTGAGATCTGACTTTGGGTCTGAAGCCAAGGACTGTGTTCATTACCACTAGACTATGCTTGCCCTGCCCCCTAGGGTTTTTCAAGTAGCAGTCTGCACTCAAAACAGAACAAAGTATTGCATAACATCCAAATGTTGCTCTTCTCTTGAGCAGTTTAGTGTAATGGAGAGTGGAGCAGTCAGATCTAGGGTCAACGTGGCAAATGTGGGTTAGCCTGGGACAGACATGGCTTGTCTGTCACTTGTGACTATGTGATCATGACCTATTTAGACATGATAATTAGGACATGCCTCTTTACCCCTCTGAGTCTTAATAGTACATGGAGATAATAATCTCATTAGAAAGGCCAAATAATATTGTGGAAGAAGGGTGAGCTCTGAGGACAAGGACTGTGGGCATGGGTTTTGGTCTGAAAAACCTTTTGTCCTATAAATAGAATTCATTGATCTTCCCCTGGAGTGATTTCCTATCTTCTTCCTGGCTACCGTTATGAATCTCATTTTCATGTTTATTAAAGGAGAGAATTATGAACTGGCTTGAGCATTTTAAAATCTTATTTAAATACATTTGGGAAAACTGTTTCAGAGGAAAGAGAATTGGAGGCTGAGTGACCCATAGAACACCTGTACCTTGGTGACCCCAGACAGAAGAGGTGCACAGACTTCTTGGTTATTGTCCCTCACATCTCATTCACTGGGGTTCATTAGATTCCCCCAAGTTGTTTGGAAGGGCCCTGGGGTACAAATGAAGCTAAGGGAGGGGGTGAATTGGGCTACATAGCAGGGTTTGGTAGAATAGACCCTTAAAGTTTGACCTTCCTACCATTGTGTCCATTGCTTCTTCCAAGAAGCCTTCCCTGGCTACTCCAGTCCCTTGGAGTTCTTTAGGGAAGTAACCACACCTTTCAAAATGCAAACAGCATTTTGTGTTTCATTTTGAAACACAATATCAAATGTGAAAGTATTTAAAACAGAGTCAGGGTGCAAGAAATGTTCACGACTTGTCTGAATCAGGCACTATGACCTTTCATGTAATTTGACACTTATTTATTGAGTATTTCCTGTATGCCAGGCCCGTCCTTGATGCTGGGAATATAAACATGCCCCTGCTTTTCAAGAGTTTAAAAATTATTCGAAGATTGAACTAAACTTCATTTCAACAGAATGAGACCCAGGGAAGTACAGAGAGCATGGAACCATGAAGGAAAGACCCTCAGCAACTATGCATAATGATAGCCCTTACCATCTCATGTTGACAGTTTACAAAGTGCTTCTCACATCTCTTCCCTGGGAACCATAAAAAACAAAATAATTATCTACATTATTTTTTAAATTAGCACCATCATCTTTTTTATTTTGTTTTATTTTATTTTATATTTCCTTTCCTTCCCCTTCCTTTCCCCTCACCCTCCCCTTTCCCTGTCTATCCCTTCCCTTCCCTTTTCCCTTTCCCTTGCCTTCCCCCTACCCTTTCCCTTTATTTCCTTTCCCTTCCTCTCCTTCCCTTTCCTCTCCTCTCCCTCTTCCCTTCCCTTTCCTCTCTCTCCCCTCTTCTCCACCTTCCCTTCCCTTCCCTATTATCTACATTTTGTTGATGAGTAAATGAGACCAGGAGAGTTAAAGTGGTAAGCAGAGCCATTAACAGTAAGCTGGCTGCAGCATGGTGCAATAGAAAGACTACTTGTAGGCCTAGGGAGACAAGGGATGTGGCTTATCTGTGCTATGTGTGACTATGTGACCTGGGCATGGTTTCCTTATCCACAAAGCAGTGTGATTAGACTAGAAATGGTCTGTGATGCCTGACAGCCCTGATATTCACTGGAAGAGAAGGTAAAGAGTTGGAGTCAAGGTTAAGGGCTCTGGAACTAGGACTGGTTGGATAATCCTAGGCAAGTGAAATAGCCTCAATGACTAAGTGACTTCATGGCAAAGTGGAGATATTGGCAGAGCCCACTTCATGGGGTTATTATGAGGGTTACAGCACATGTGAATGAACATATTGTCTGGTAAAGAGTTAAGTGTTCAGGAAATGACAGCGATGAGTATTATTTGTTTATTCTTTCTACGCCGGCACTTGTGTATGTCAGAACCTCATTCTGGCTACCCAGGCACCATAGAAAAACAGGGCCTTGTTTTATAAAGCCATAGAACAATAGTGAAGTAGGTCTTGAAAATCAGAGGTAGCATGTTATATGGGGAAGCATTAGACAAACATGGCTTAAAATTCCAGTTTGGAGCCAGGTATGGTGGTTCATACCTGGAATTCCAGTTACTTAGGAGGCAGAGATTGGGAGGATGGAGTTTTGTGGCCAGCCCAGACAAAAAGTTAGCAAGATTCCATCTCTACAAAAAATGCTAGGGTTGGCAGTTCATGTCTATAATCCCAGCACTTGAGGTGCTGAGGCAGAAGGATCATGAATTTGAGGCTACGTTGCCTGGCTACATAGCTCTGGCTGTCTCAAAACAAAACAAGAGAAAATAAACAAACAGTTGCAGCTGGGTTTCTTACCCATGTGGCTCAGGTCACTTTGCCTCCCTATGACTCAGCCTCCTAATTTATAAAATGGGGACAATGTCCTTTTTTTTTTTTTTTTTGGCAGTACTAGGGTTTGATCTCAGGGCCTTGTGCTTACTAGGCAGGTGCTCTACCACTTGAGCCATGCCTCCAGCTTCTATGCCCATTTTAAAAAGGATTGTTTAAGACTTGAATAAGATAATGTGTGTAAGCTTCCAGCACAGCACCTGGTCCACAAGACCAGAGATTAGTTAGGTCAAGTACTGGGTCTGTCTGGCTGCTTTTTGGGTACCTCAACCTGAAGTCTCTGTGCTCTCTGCTCCTAGGTCTCCAGACCAGTGAAGATGCCAAGTTTTATGCCCTTTCAACCAGGTTTAAACCATTCAGCAATGTGAACGAGACCTTGGTGGTTCAGTTTTCAGTAAAACATGAACAAGGCATTGATTGCGGTGGTGGGTATGTGAAGCTCTTTCCTGCCTCCCTGAACCAGGAAGATATGCACTCAGAATCCAAGTATTACATCATGTTTGGTAAGCTTTCCGATAGCAGTTGCCCTCAGCCCCACAAGGTCCTGAGGAGAGCCACTGTAGTTATTGAAAAGATTTAGATCGACCTGGAACAGAAAATTTCTAATGTGATAGCTGCAGTAGGACTCTACAAAGACTTGAAAAAAACAACTCTAGCCTTAAATGTTAATATAAATACATCAAAGAGGTGGGGAGGCATGTGGTATTAACAAGTCTACAGTATGGGAAGAGGTTCTCCTGTTCTTATAAATGATCCTGTGTTCTGCCTCAGGGTGAGAAAGGAGCCCAAGGTCAGGGAAGTGACCTTTAGCAAGTATCTTCAATGTGTCCAGAGTATGGCATTTAGCACCTAAATGAGTAAAAAAAGTCATTAGACCTCCTTAAGGTGGTCCAGCTCTTATTTAGCTCCATCTAACCTTACTTCCAGTTTCAATATTATTGACATTTAAAAATCAGCAAAGTAGACGGGTGCCAGTGTCTCATGCCTGTAATCCTAGCTAGTCAGAAGACAGAGATCAGGAGGATCGAGGTTCAAAGCCAGCCCAGGCAAATAGTTTGTAAGACCCTATCTTGAAAAAACCCATCACAAAAAAGGGCTGGTGGAGTGGCTCAAGATGTAGGCTCTGAGTTCAAACCCCAGTACCTTAAAAAAAAAAAAAATCAGCACACTACAAACTACAAAATTCCAAAGCGCAGATGGCGTAGGTGAATTGTACTGAACGTTTTTGTACAAAGTCAGAGGAAAGGTTATACTGCACATCATACAAAAAAATTCCCTTAAAATCCTGTCTGCACATTTCTTCTTTTCCCAGAGACTGCCTCAAGTCCTTTTTCAAATCCTCCTCTTTAGTCTCATTGTTCTTTTTCTATCTGCATTCTCCCCTCTCCCTCACTCTTTTTTTTTTTTCTTAAATTTCAATCTTTTTCTTAGGCAGAGCAATTCAACACTCTATATCTAAAATGGGTCTTTGCTCATCTTCTATTTTCTTCGAAATCCACCTTTCTCACAAGGAATGTATATATGTATATGTACGTGAAGATGGTAGTAGAAAAATTACAAATAAAAATGTGGGCATGGGGGGGATGCTGAAGATGAGGTTCAAACAGTAGATAGCCTGCCTAGATAGAGTGAAGCCCTGATTTTAAACCCCAGTATCACCAAAAAAAAAAAGTGTGGGGGTGGATTTTTTTCCTTTCATGTGAATATATTTATTTGATGCTCAAACAAACCAACAAGATTAGGCTGTTACCATCTCCATTTTACAGATGAGGAAATAGAGGCAAGAAATTTGCCCAAAGTGAATCAGTGTAAAGCCAGAATTTGAACCAGTCTGTCTGGCTCTAAAGCCTGTGTTTTTTCTACTCTACTCTTCTACCTTTATGAATGGCATTTTAAAAAGGTGTTGATGAGGTGCTATGAGATCACAGAATGGCATGATTTAATCCAACTGGGGCTTTCCCGAGGAGGTAGTAAGTGTTCTTTAAAGAGTGAGTGAGATTTTAATAGGGAGAGAAGAAGGAAGAAGACTTGTACAGGGTAGAGAGAGCAGTATGTGCAAAAGCTCAGTCATGAAATTCAAGTGCAAGTAGAGAAATGGTGAGAAGCCAAATGTGGCTGGAACACATTGAGAATGCATGTGCACACATGCATGTGTTTTGCACTTGACCTTAACCAACAGGTCCAGGAGCAATTATGTGTGAGTTTTGAGTAGACTGCCACAACATGGAAGGTGAGGTTGAAAATTAGTTACAAGCCTATTCCTGGGCCTAATTCCTAGACCTTCCACAGGCAAAACTCTCTGGGTTCAGGGGCACTGATCAACAAGTCTCCCTAGAGATTGGACTTTGAGCACATGATAAAAGCGAGAGCACACAAGCGAGGGGTGAGGATAAGTGAGATACCTAAAAAATTAGCTAGCATTTGTTGCCCTTAATGCAGAGAAACTAAAGCAGATACCTTCAAAGCAACTGAGGCCAATAGGAAAAGGGGACCAGGAACTAGAGAAAAGGTTAGATCAAAAAGAATTAACCTAGAAGGCAACACACACGCACAGGAAATTAATGTGAGTCAACTCCCTGTATAGCTAGTCTTATCTCAACTAGCAAAAACACTTGTTCCTTCCTATTATTGCTTATACTCTCTCTTCAACAAAATTAGAAATAAGGGCAAAATAGTTTCTGCTGGGTATTGAGGGGGTGGGGGGGAGAGGGAGGGAGCGGAGTGGGTGGTAAGGGAGGGGGTGGGGGCAGGGGGGAGAAATGACCCAAGCATTGTATGCACATATGAATAATAAAACAATAAAAAATAAAAAAAAAAACAACAAACTGTAATCTCATCATTCCAAAATAAACAATTTTCAGACACTGGTAAAAAAAAAAAAACAAGTCTCCCTAGAGTTTTCACAAAGTGGAAGGAACCTCAGGCTGTTACTAGGTAGGCAGCGGTTTGAATCCCAGCAAGGCTTCTTATTGGCAGTTTGACTTTGGGCAAGCTCTTTAACTTTTTTAAGCCATAATTTTCCCAGTTAAAAATGGAGATAGTAATACTGACTTTTGAGAATTAAATGCTATAGTATAAAATGACTGGCACAGAAGGGCTTTCAGCTGGTTTGGTGAATTTGAGCCCTGGCAGATCAGAGGGAGAGAAGAGAGTTGTACTCCTCAATTGAAAGTTCACTTCTCACCTGACTGCACTTTCTCCACGAATCTTTTCTAGACTTTGGTAACCCTTTCAAGTCTGAGGTAGGACAGGCCCCACTGTTGCTAGCCCAGAGTATAGTACTATACTTTTTGTTTCCTCAATACCTGCTGCCATCTTTGTAAATTATCTCTTTATTAAACCTTCTCAAATAATCCTGACTTTGAGTGCACCATTTTTTTCTGGGAGCAGTGATTAATACACAGGCTGCATCTGTCTCGGGTTTTGACCTCAGACCAGGCAAACTGAAATTGATATGAAATCATACTTTGGGATTTAATTTCCAGGCCCTGACATTTGTGGCTTTGGCAACAACAAAGTGCAGGTCATCCTTCATCATCAAGGAAAATACCACGAGAATAACAAGACCATCAAGTGCAGGGTGAGTTTGTGGTCTGATTCTTAGACTAAGGGAGAAGGAAAAAAATTTTATATATGTTATCTCATTGAATCCTATCAAAACTCTCTAAATTAAATGCTATCATCTCCATTTTACAGACTAGAAAGTAGCCCCAAACCAGGTGTTGGTAGCTCATGTCTGTAATCCTAACTATTCAAGAGGCAGATCAGGAGGATCATGTTTCGAAGCTAGCCTGGGCAAATAGTTCTAGAGACCCTATCACCCCCTGTACAGCAAAAAGAAAGAGAGAGAGAGAGAGAGAGAGAGAGAGAGAGAGAGGAAAAGAAAAGAAAAGAAAAGAAAGTAGACCTAGAAAAGAGAGTACTATAAATTGTAGGAATTCAGATAGGAACAGCTGATCCAAAAGCCTGGAAAGTTACATAAGGTCCTCAATGCTTGGCGTGATCCAGTTCTCCACAGCTAGATATTGGAGAGGACGGGGGAGGTAGAGAGTGCTGGACTTAGAAACAGGAGTCAGTTTATCTCAGTAACATCAGGTTAAACACGAAGTTTGGCTAAAGGATGGGTAGATTTCATCAGCAATTTCAACAGGCATTCACCAAATGCTAACTCTGTTGGGTCTTACACTGGGGACTGAGTGAGTCAGACATGGTCCCTGAACCATAGAACTCATAGGAAAGCCAGATACCGTGGCTCATGCCTTTAATTACAGCTACTCATTGAGACTTCAACATCAGAGACTTCATTTCAAAAACAAAACAAAACAAACCCTCACACCGACAAGTGAAGATAAGAGTCAAACAAAGGAAAGTGATTATAAGTGATATGATTGGTGTTTATGGGAGCACAGAGGACCTGTACCAATCTGGAGGCTTAGGCAATGCTTCCTAAATTTTCCCCTGTGCTGAGTCTGAAAGGTGAACAGGACTTATTCTTGTGAAGGAGTGTGACAATTTTATGTAGAACTGAAGAGGCAATTGCATAAGAAAAGTCAAAGAGACTTGAGGAAGAATGGAACTATAAGAGGGTTGACACAGCTAGAGCACAGAGGAGTGACAGGAACTACATCTAGAGAAGCCTGGGTCACTGAAGAAGTTGTGTTCAGGCCCAGGGCCTTCCTGAGAAACAGGACAGGGGCTGTGTGTGCAGGAGCTGCAGAATGATAGGTGAATCATATACGACCCCTGCTGTTGAGAAGCTCACAGTTTAGTGAGAGGAACGGAAAAGCAACAGTGGAGGAGGGGGATGCAGGCTAGGGGAGACTACAGGAGGTGAACTAGCAGAATGAGACCCAAAATTCCAATAAGGTTAACCAGAGAAAGGGGAGGAGGAATGTGGGAAAGTGCTCTTGTGAATGTGTGGGAGGTGGTATTCAGGGAAACCTTAATGCTTGAGATCTAAGATGTTCAATAGGGAACTGAAACATTCCTCCATTCCCTTTATAGGTAAATAAAGACACCCACCTGTATACTCTGATCATTCGCCCCAACGCTACTTATGAGGTCAAAATTGACAACGAGCAAGTGGCATTTGGGGAACTGGAGGATGACTGGGACTTCTTGCCTCCCAGAAAAATAAAAGACCCCTATGCCCGGAAACCAAGGAAATGGGATGAACGTCTGCAAATAGAGGATCCTGACGATAAGAAACCTGAGGTCAGAGGGTGTTTGGTTGGGAAGCACGTGGGATTAGCTGTGGGCATAGAGAAGGAGCAGAAACTAGGGGAACAACAATTCCTTAAGGAGCAGGTGTTTAGTTAAATTATTTTTATGCAAAGAGACATGGAGGAGATGGCAACAATTCATATTTGTTGAAGACTATTGATCCACCTGGCAACTTCTGTGAGCATAAGGAAACTTATGCTTAGGAAACAAAAATCTTGCCCAAGAACACACACGTTAGAACCAAGACTTAAACCTGTATCTCTTAGACTCTAATGTTATCACTGTGTGAAGTGTGTGATATATATTCATTGATTCATTTTCATTCTGGAAAGCTGCACTGGATATAGCTATGAATTGGACAATCCTTGTTCTCCAGGGACACAGAGTATAGTGAGGAAACAAGCAATAAAACAAAGGTCACACTGTGCGATCAGTACTGAGAGCCGGAGAAGCCAAAGCCTGTGATAGCCCAAATACCACCTGTGTGGGGTACAGGTGGTGGTTTGGGAAAGAGGAGACAATACTTGAGTCATTGGGTCAACCAGAGGTTGGAAAAATACTCTGGGGTCAGACAGATATGGGTTTGAATGTGAGCGTCACCATTTACTAACTGTGAGACCTGGTTGAGTAACATGACTGCTGTGAAAGCAAATTTTACACATAGTTGTTGTGAAGGTTAAATGAGTTAATATAAAATATACAATACAGTGCCGAGTATATGGTAAGTCATTATATATTAATATATACTGCATTTCAAACAACAAATTCACTAAAGCAAGGAGAGTAGAAATTGGGTTGAAAGGAAGATATGCCATACCTAGGGAACAACCAAAGCAAAGGCACAATGGTTAGGTAGAAAATAACATAGTTGTGTAAAGAGCTAAAAGCAGCTGTTCAGTATTTTAGGAGAATAAAATTCAAGGTAGGATGTGGTAAGAGATGAGGTTGGAAAGGTCTATTGGAGCCAGACCATGGAGGACCTCACCTCAGTTTAGAGCAGGGTCAACTTTATGCAAAGAGGAGATACCTGGAGTCAGAGAGGGTCAACGTGGGAACCTAGCATCTGGGTCTAGTCCCTAAAGAGAGGCCTGCAATGGCCCAGCCTTGTGCAGAGAGATTTGGCAAAAGACTCCAATCCCAGAGAGGAGGGAAGTATAAGCAGGGAATTACAGCAAATGGTCAGGAGGTGTCTGAGCCTTCAGGACCATGGGAAAATAAGGGACTAAAGTTCTAGGCAGTTCTTGGCCCTGCTTCCTGGTGAGGACCATGCGCTGCCTGCAGTCAGAATTGTCTCCGGATTCTTCCCCTTTCTCCCAGCAAAAGAGAGGCTTGCAGGCCTCTGGGCCCCCAGGGGAGTGGATCAGAGGAAGATAGAAACTGATTAGCTAGATGACATTCAGTTTCCTGAGACAGGCAGGAACTGTCTGTCTTGTCCTGAGAGCTATGATCTTGATAGTCTCCCCTCTAGCTAGTCTGTCTTTAGAATTGCAATACTTCTCAATACTATCACATTGGCGATTAAGTTTTGGGGAGAACAAACCATAGCAGGGCATATGACTGAGGGAAGGGTGAGGTCAAAGACAAGGGTAATGCTTATCTGACATGAATTTAAAGTACTCAAGGTCAGAGTGATAGTGAACCCAGAGGTGGAACTAGTATTCCTTGAAGACTTTTTCTTTTCTGCACTGAGTTTGTTTGCAAAGTCCTGAGCTGGGTCTTCATACAGAGGGCAGTGGGAGTAGGAAGTCAGTTCCTCCTGACTACAATTGGAACCCCAGTTTCATCTCAGACCATACATCTGTCTTTATGAAGAAATATTTCATTTTAGGACTGGGAGGACTTTGAGTTCATCCCAGACCCAGAAGCCAAGAAGCCAGACGACTGGAATGAGGCCATGGATGGGGAGTGGGAAGGGCCCCTGATACCAAACCTGAAGTATAAGGTGAGAGGTTCTCTCTGTCCAATGGGTGTGAGAAATAAGATGGAAGAGACATAAATTTTAATTTATAAAACAGAAATTCCAGGATCATGTGGTTGTTTTCCCTCCCCTTCATACCGTGAATAGGACTGGCCTCATCCAAGCCCTATTCTCAGTCTATGCCTACTTGGGAGAAGGGGGGAAGGAGTCAATGCTGAGAGGTAGAGGTTCATTAGGTCTGGGCATGGAGTTTGTCCAGAGTAGTGGGAAGCAGGCAGACAAAGGATCATGGTTCAAACAGAAAATGGCCAAGGGTCAGGAACAGGAAGTCTCGGAAGTGGACCAAAAGGGGGAAAGGGAGACTAAGTTGTTAGGGAGATAGAGGAACTTTTTTCTTTTTTAAAAACAGGGCCTCATACCCCAGATTGACCTGGAACTCCCTATGTGACCCAGTATGGCCTCGAACTTGTGATCCTCTTGCCTCTACTTCCCAAGTGCTGGGATTACAGAGAAGACCTTCTTTTTAATGACTAACTCCTGACCTCTTGTCAGAAGCAAGAAAAACTAAAGAAATGAGCAGACAAATAGCTCAGTCATAAAACTATCTAAGGCAAGCATTTTATTTGGCCACAGTTTCCTGTACCACACACCACTCCAAGTGCCAAGATACTTAGATGATATTCTCTGAGAGGCTGCATTTTCTTAACTTCATGAATGAGCTTAGAATGGGTGCCTGCCATGTCATTTATCTGCCTCTGGGAAGAAAGGGAAACTTGGAAAAGTCTTGTACATTCACTCAGAGAAAGGGAAAGAAGTCCCAGAAATCCTGTTCTGAATCCTGATGTCTAATATACAACTGTCTTAATAAATTGATTGGCCTTCTTTGGTTGTATGAGATTAGAAAATGGAAAAATATTAATGACATGTTCACTCTTGGTTCTTTGCTTAGGGGCAATGGAAACCTCGGATCATTGACAATCCCAATTACCAGGGGGAGTGGATTCATCCAGAAATTGACAACCCTAAATACAAGCCTGACCCTACCATTTGTCACTATTATAACATCAGTGTTCTTGGCTTGGACCTTTGGCAGGTAAAGCTCCCTGGTTTCAGAGCCACACTGATCAACAGTTTCTCTAGTTCTCACAAAGTGAAGAATCCTGGGCTGGAAATCACATCCTTGAATAAGTCTTAATCTTTCCAAACCTCAAACTATTCATCTTTAAAATGGAAGTAATTAGCCTAGTGTTGTAGTGGTATGGGCCTGTAATCCCAGCACTTGGGAAGTTGAGGAAGAACAGTCATGAATTAGAGGCCACATTGGACCACACAGTGAAATCTGGTCTCAAAAACATAAATAAAATTCAGATAAAAAAGGACTTGGGGGCATGGCTGAAGTGGTACAGTGCTTGCCTAGTGAGAGGCCCTGAGTTCAACCCCCCAGTACCAAAAAATTAATAATATTGTTACTAATAAATAATTAACTAACTAGAATAAAAATAAGTATGATAAAATGGGATAATTATATTCATCCTACTAATTATAAGACCTAAAATTTACTGAGTCCCTACCATGTACCAAGCATTGTATTAAAGATTTTGCAATACCATCTAATTTTCACTGTAAATCTTCTATTTCTAAATGTGAATAGGAGGCTTAGAAAAAATTAAATAATTTGCCTGAAGATGTGTTACTGGGTAAGGTGAACAGAAAAACTAGGACTTGAGTGCAGGTCTTTCTGGCACCAGATCCAATTGTGCTAATACTTTATTCTGCCTCTGTATGATTCTTGAGGGTGCTTCTGTGTGCAAACAGAAATCAGAAATACAGCAAAAATCTGAAACATTAAAATCCTTGGACGTGTATTAGGAGCAATTATTCCAGTCATAATGACTAACTCTGATTTAGTCTCCCTCTCTCTGCCAGTCACTGATGGGAAGGGAAAGAGAACTCAGATACTCAGACCAACACAGAAGTGCAAGGAGGTCATGTATATAAATTAACGAGTGCCAGGAGTTCAGGAGAGCAAGGAGAGAGAAAGAACACATCATATCTTTTTTTCCTTTCTGGCTTATCTAAAGAATGTGAATACAATTTACCCAACTTCACATTGTTATTGCTCTCTTTTTTAGTTGTTTCTTTTTAAAAAATAATGAGAACTTTCTACATTTTGTAAACATATGTGATATTAATATGCCTAATCTGCTGGTTTCCTTAGAATGTTTTCTTCACTGAAAACATTAAACTATACATTTTAAGCCACATCTTTGTTCATTCACAAAATTAAAAATCGTTTGGCATTAATTGCTGTGGGTTCAACCTAAGCAGGCAAACCTTTCTATTTGAAGAATTTAAACATGCCAGCTGAGTGCTCCCCAGGCATTAATATATATATAAGTCACCAGGGGATCTTAATAAAATGCAGATTCTGGAATGAAGCCCAAAAAACTACATTTCTAAAACCCTAGCATTATCTTTTTATTTTGTGGTGTGGTGTGTGTGTGTGTGTGTGTGTGTGTGTGTGTGTGTGTGTGTGTGTATGAAAGGGGGGGAAGGGAACGAGAAGGAAGAGGGAGGAAGAGAAAGAGAGGGAGGGAGGGAAGGGGGCAAAGGGGGGAAGGAGGAAAAAAAGAATCCCGCACTATGCTGATGATTGTCTTTGTCCTTTCCATCTAAATTCTAGTAGGTTCGGCACTCCCAGGTCCTACTCCACCCTCCCTTCTGAGTCAACCCAGAACATCCAGTTTCCCAGAGTTACTGCACCCCTTCGAAAAGCCAAGTGACTAAGCATGGAGGTGGTGGACATTCCTTTACCTGTCCCTCCCTAGCCCCCAGTTTCTAGCCTTCAGTGCTCCCCCAGCCCAGTTGCCCTTCCTGTCCCTACTCTGTTGCAGCCTAGTAAAACCTGCCTAGTCCTTACTTTCCTGTCTACTCCCTGACCTGCCTATTCCCTCTTTTCACACCTCCATACCCAATTCCTTTACTTTTTTTTTTTTTCTCTCTTTAAGTGGAAGTAATTGAATTCTTTGGTTAGGGCAGGGACTGGGCGGACATAGCAGAGAACAAAGAACATTCTTCTCTTCCTTACAATCTTTGAAAGAATAGTAACACGAACTTTAAGGAATATAGCCCAGCCATAATGCGAAGCACATTGACATTCCCTACATCTGGGGACTGTGCACAGCCCTATGAGGCCGGGAGTATAGGACTTGCCATGTCCTTTAGTTTTTTATTTAATTATTTTTTGTGGTGCTGGGGATCAAACTTAGGGACTCATACATGCTGGGCAGGCCCTCTACCACTTTCTCCATTTTACTAATGAGAAAACTGAGAATTCAAAGAAGTAACTTCCCATTTTATGATCCATTTTATGATCCATGTGAAATAGTTCAGGAAACCAGGTGACTTTCAGTGAATTAACTTGTTAAAAATTAAGACTTTGTGCCTCACAATCTAACAAAGCTTTTTCTCATGTGTTCTTTCCCCCTAACTACATAAAGAAAGCAGGAAAAGTGTATTTTTCTTCTGTGTTGCCATTTTGCATATAAAAACATGTAAGCAAAGAGAAGAGATAAGTAGACCAAGTCAACCCACTAGTAAGTTTTAGAGAGCAGGGTGGGCACCCTCAAAACCTATGAGTTTGACTTAAAGGGAATGTGGTTTAAGGGGAATGGAGGCAAAGGGTCACTGAAGAGAGTAGGGGAGATTAGGAATATTCTCTTGGAAGTAGGGAAAATGGGAGACCCAAAACATGGGGAGTTTTCTAAGCAAGACAGCTGACAACTCAAAAGGAAAAAAAGCAAGCAAGCAAGAAAGAAATCCCAAAGGCCAGAAAGTATTTTACAGTCGCACAAAGAATTTTATAAACCAATTTTTGTTTGTGGTGCTGGCGATACTGGGGCTTGAACTCAGAGCCTACATCTTGAGCCACTCCAGCAGCCCTTTTTTTTGATGGTTTTTTTTTTAAGATAGGGTTTCCAAACTATTTGCCAATGCTGGCTTCAAACTGCAATCCTCCTGATCTTTGCCTTGGGAGTAGCTAGGATTAGAGGCACAAGCTACCAGTGTCTGGTTAACCAATTTTTAAAATGACTTAGGGCAAAATAATCATCTCTATTCTATTTGGCTACTTGTCATTTTTTTTTTTTTCAGCTAGAGGCAAGGTTGGTGGAATGATATGAGCTACATAAAGGTCTTTCTCATTAAAATAAAAAAAATCATTTTCTTTCTGGTTACAAAAGAGTAAGGTAGAGGTTTCCAAAGCCTGGCAGAGGGACACACCTTAATGCTTCCTGCGTTTCTCTTGGTCACACAACTGTTTCAATGAAATTGACTTGATTTATTTAGCATACTGCTAAAATGAAAATATTACAGACTGGTCTTCCTTTTGAAACATATCCAGATACTGAGAAGTTACAAGAACTATTATCATTTATCAAGTGACTATTACTTGCTAGAAGCTATGCTGTTCGTATATTATTTCTAATTCTAATTCTAATTCATGATACTATCACCAGGGAGTTATTGTTTTCTCTGTTTTACTTATGAGGGAAGAGGCTCAAAGGGGTTGAGTAACTTGCTCAAGGGCATACAACTAATATGGGGTTGAGCTGGTTTGTTTGATTCCATGTCTTATGCTCTTTTAAAAATATTATATGCCATGGATTTAATTAATCTTTTCCTTTAATGGAAGTACTAAAAATGTTATTTTAAAAAACCAGAGCAATATTGTGTAAGGTCTAGATTTTAGAGAATCCAAATTCTCTAACCTTTTCTTTTTTTCATGTGTCCTTTTAGTTCCTCATTATATTAAGAGAGAAGCTTAAAAATGACATTATACATCTATACATAATTATCAGAAGTAGTATTTGTCAATCTGAAGTGGGGCAAGAGCCACTGGGCACAATGTGCAGACTGGCAGAGTACTAAAACTTCATTCACAGCCCTCTACTACAGTGTTCAGAGACTTGAAAGAGCACAAAACCTTGGAAAATCATAAACTAACTTCCTTCTTGAGCAGACCAGCTGGAGCAATATAGCATTCTGGGTCCACTATATTATTAATAGCCTTTGTATTCTCACCCCCAAACCCAATTATTGATTAAAATCTCTGGGCTTGTGGCTTGGCAGTCTGCATTTATCAAGGACCTCCTGGTGAGTTCATGCACGTGCACTAGGGATGGACCCAGGGCTTATGTGTGGTAAACATACACTCTTTTTTTTTTTTTTGGTATTACATTAGTGGTATTTTTTTTTCATTTTTCTTTTATTATTCATATGTGCATACAAGGCTTGGTTCATTTCTCCCCCCTGCCCCCACCCCCTCCCTTACCACCCACTCCCCCCTTCCCCCCCCCAATACCCAGCAGAAACTATTTTGCCCTTATTTCTAATTTTGTTGTAGAGAGAGTATAAGCAATAATAGGAAGGAACAAGGGTTTTTGCTCATTGAGATAAGGATAGCTATACAGGGCATTGACGCACATTGATTTCCTGTGCGTGGGTGTTACCTTCTAGGTTAATTCTTTCTGATCTAACCTTTTCTCTAGTACCTGTTCCCCTTTTCCTATTGGCCTCAGTTGCTTTAAGGTATCTGCTTTAGTTTCTCTGCGTTAAGGGCAATAAACATACACTCTTATCACTCAGCTGGAACCCCACACCTCTGGGTGATTTTTAAGCCCTTTAACATTTTGTCATCTAGTTCTAATAATCCCATTGTTTTCATTTCAACAGGTAAAATCAGGCAGCATTTTTGACAATTTCCTTCTTACAAATGATGAAGAGTTTGCTGAAGAGGTTGGAAATAAGACCTGGGGAATGAGAAAGGTAAGATGCTCCCCAACCCTGAACTCTGGATGTCTGACTCCTCAATTGTACAGTTATTCGCATTTTCTTTTCTTTTTAAATATGGAATGCTTCACAAATTTGCGTGTCATCCTTGAGCAATCCTCTCCGTAGCATTCCAATTTTAGTATATCTGCTCCCGAAGTGAGCACTGTTACTCGCATTTTCAGAATCAGCCTCAGAGTTATTGTCCATTTATGGTCACACGGCCTTGAGGGGTAGGAGACAAAGAACTCTTATTTATTGGACATCTACAACTTTGTACTTGTGACTCTGAGCACTTTGCAAACTTTCTCTCACTTAGCCCTTAAGATGACCTAGAAATACAGATCTTATTAATTCTATTTTTTCAGATGTAGGAATTGAGAGTCAGGGTATAAACTGCCCAAGGTCACATACAGCTTTTAACTTGTTGAGCTGGAATTTGAACCCAGAGCTGATACTCCTTCTGTGTGTCACACTGCCTGCTCACAGCACGGTGATCTAGAAGGAGTCACTGAGCCCACTTTAGATGGATGACTTGGGGAAAGAAAGAAGTGACAGTGCTGTTTATAGCAATGTGCCCTTCTGGAACTATTTTATGGGTGGAGTGATATTTAGGACAATTGCCTCTTGCATGTGGATGTCCTGACTCTGCAGGAAGGTCCATTAATGCAGGGAGGCATGTAGCCAGTGCTTGACTATCCAACAGGAAGCTTCTGTTCAGAGCTCTGGCAAAGCACAGGCACCAAAAGAACTAGGGGCTGGGAGGATTTTGATACTTCACATTTCTTGCAGTACTAGGGATTGAACTCAGGACCTATGTGCTTGCTAGGAGAGTGTTCTACCACTTGAGCCACTCCACCAGTCCATCTTTTGCCTTTGTTATTTTTGAGAGTCTTCCCTGGGCTCTACCATTATACTTCCCCACATAGCTAGGATGACAGGCTTGTGCCACCGACCAAGCCATTGGTTGATATGCCTAGCAAACTTTTTGCCTGGGTGGGCTTTGTATCACAATCCTCCCATCTCTGCCTCTCAAGTTGTCAGAATTATAGGCAATACTTGATATTTCTTTTAAAAAGTATTGAGGTAATCATAATGGGGAAAAGTTACTTAACTTTTTTTTTTACTTTTTAGTTTTAGTTTCATCTTATTTTACTTTGGGGTTGTCATCTAATTTTGTTTTTCGTGGTGCTGGAGATCAAACCCAGACCTTGTACGTGATGGGTAAACACTACTATTGAGCTAATGTTGTTTTGTTTTTAAATTATTTTATTAGCATATACTAGTTGTACAGGGGAATACATTGCAATATTTACATATGTGCTTACAATATATCTTAGATTAACCCATCCATCATTCTCCCTCTTCCCCTTTTGCCCCCTTCTTAGAACAATTTCAACAGGTTTCATTCTTCTATGTTCATATATAGCTACAAAATACATCCACCTTATTAATCCTCATTCCCCCTTTCTATGTACCACCCACCTCCCACTGGTACCCACCCCCAGAGAAGATCTATGTTTCCCTCCTGCCCTTCATTTTTTTAAGTGTATACTGATAGTCCAAGGGAGTTTTTTGCCTTGGCACTTTAGGTTTGTATATATTGTGCTTAAATCAAATTAACTCCCTCCCATTACTTACTCATTCTCTATCACCATGCCCCTCTAATATTCAACATCTTACAGTACAGTGCATTATATTATATTCATACTTAGATAAGTTGTTTCAATATTTTTCATTCTATAACATTTTCTTTACCTCTCCTGCCTCTCATAGTCCCTTCAGACAGACTCACTAATACAATTTTGTTGTCTCTCTCACTATACATGTGTGTGTGTGTACACATTTAATGTATAGATCTAGTTTCCACATATGAGGGAAAACATGCAACCTTTCACTTTTTGAGCCTGGCTTACCTCACTTAACATGAAGTTCTCCAGCTCCATTCATCTAATACTGTTTTGTTGAGTCACGCATACTAGGTAAGAGTATGAGTTTTGAAGCTAGACTGCTTAGGTTGAACTACAGGTTTCATCTTTTACTAGCTGTATGAACTTGGCCAAGTTATTCATCTATTAATTGTGAATAATGATAGCGACTATCATATAAATTCCTGGTATATCACATGTGACCCATATATGATAGCTGTCATTAAGTTGTACATTTACTTGACAAATATTTGCCAAGGGCCTGTTCAAAGCACTGTGTAGGGATATAGCAGTGAAATAAGATAAGAGAAGTTTCTGTCCCCATGAGACTTATATTCAGTTTGGGGATAGCAACAAGAAATGTATAAAGGGCTGGCAGAGTGACTCAAGTGGAGAGCACCTGCCTAGCAAGTGTGAGACCCTGAGTTCAAACCCCAGTATAAAGAACAGCAAACAAGCAGGGAGGAGTGGAACACACCTGTAATCCCAGACATCCAAAGACTGAGGCAGATGTATTAAAAATTCAAGGCCAGCCTGGGCTACATATTATAAAGAGACTCTCTTTCTAAATAAATAAATAAATAACTCTAAATGTCAGATCCCTCATCTAGAAAGTGGGGTGAGTAACACTTGCCTCTTGCATTGCTGTGAGGAATACAAATAAGGCATGCAGATCGATTAGCTTGTGCTTCCAAATGCAGTAGGCATTTGACAAGTATTCAGTGAATCTGGACCTATTTACAAGCAGCCACTCACAGACACATATTTCTCTCCACCCCCCACACACTGAAAACTGATAGTATGTAAATAAACACTATCCCCAGAAATCTTGAAGACTCTGGGAAGATTCCAGACATTTCTAAAGTTGGTTAACTTTGTTTATACCATCTGTAAATTACTTTGAAATTCCACATTTTAAACAGGACATAGAGAAGCAGTGGAGAGAACTGTATGAGGAAATGGAAAAAAAGAAGGAGGCAGAAGAGGCCAAGAAGAGAAAGGAAAAGGAAGAGGCAAAGAAAGATGACATCTGGGGACTTGAAGAAGAGGACGATGAAGAAGATCTTGATGAGGAACCAGGAAATGATGGGCAGGAAGGTGATGCTGAAAGAGCATTTCTGGGTAAAAATGAAGAAATTCATGTTGACCAGAAGGATGAACTATAATGGTTATGCTTAGAAGCAAATTGTGGTGCTTAGAAGGAGAAATGTTCATGAGGCTAGCAAAACTTGAGGAGCAAAATAACTTACTCTTTTAAATAAACTTTGCATTTCCACTCCCTGTCCTTTGCTCTATATGACTGTTGAAAAGTCTTAGCATCTTTTGGGACTATTTCCTTACTAGTGGAAAAGGAGTGATAATTTCTAAATCATGAGGTTGTTGTAGGGATTAAATGAGCTAATGTATATAAAGTGTCTGATATAAATATACAGTAAAAAATAGTAGCTATAAGTACTATCATTATTATGAAGTTTGTGACATTGTTAGGAAATAAGCTCTGTAAAAACTTGCTCTTCACTTTCAATTTATCCCAGGGTACAGGTAGGGATTTAATTTTGTTTAACAATCTGAATTACTTGGTATTTACTGAATAGTGCTGATGGTTCTACTTTTGCCCAATGATGTGTTCCTCTTGCAAATGTATCTCTTAAAAACAAAATCAGACTTCCTCTGAACATAAGGAAAAATATTTTGTGAAAGTCACTTTGCTTCTCTGTTGTTCTGTGCCCTAAATTTTAAGTACTTGTTGCTCGTTGGCCAAGTGTGTTGGTCTTGTATTTATCTTTTCTGTACCAACTGCTCAGAACATTATTATCACCTGCATTCCTGTAATTCTTTACAAATGAGAAAGCACTTTCCTGCGAATTTGTGGAGCTCCCTGAAATGTGCTCATTCAATACTCAGAGCAGTCATTGTTGAAGATATCATTATCTTCACTTTACAGAAACTGCTCAGAGCTGGCAAGTTTCTTGCTCAGGTTCAGTTAGCAAAGCCAGGCCAGTATCTAAGCTCACGTTCATCTGGTTTCAAAGAGGCTGGGTGTGGTGGCACATGTAATCCCAGTGCTTAGGAGACTGAGGCAGGCCAGCCGGGCCACATTGCAAGATCCTGTCTCAAAAAAAAAAAAAAAAAAAAACAGAAAACAAAGCTTATCCTTCCACCACACAAAGCTGTTTGAATAAGTATCTATTACTATTGAATACATAAAGTAGGCAACGTTTCACATGGAAGAAATGTCATTTTAAGTGTATTTTTAAAAAGTTACATCCAACAGTCAGGGAGTCCAGACATGGCTGTTATATATTCAGTAAACCATAGCACAGTGCTATAAATATGAATCTGGAACATAGTAGGTGCTCGTTGAATATTAGTCGAAAAGAATCAGCAAATCTCTGCCTGGTGGCTTAGGGGAAGACTTTATGAACAAAGTGACTTTTGAGCCAGATCTCACAGAATGCAGGAGTCTGTCCAACAGAAAGAGTACCTGGATGACAAGAAGTGGTTGGTAAGGTCAGAGAGGAATAGCAAGAACAGGCTGGTGCCTAGTTTAGTTTCTGGGTCTTAAAAATCTTTGGAATGTTCTGGATTGGGAAACTACCTCTATAGCTACTTCTATAACTTAAGGATCTCCCCACTGTGAAAAAGAGGAAGGTTTCAGATGCCAAGTCTGACCATTTTGTCTTAGGGCTAAAGGACTGGTGTCTGGGGTGATCTTCAGTTTAAGAACGCCAGTCTAATACAAGCATTGTTTACTTCAAATACCTGCTCTGGTTGGTCAGATAGATGCTCCACCAATTGTTACATATTTTCAGTATCATGACATATAGATTTACATATCAGCTGACTGGGTCCTTTTATTCTACCCAGATAGAAATCAGTGGGCAGGCAAGAAGATCTTCCAGTGTTAGAATCCTGAGCCTTTGAGAGCCCAAGGCCTAGGGACTGGACTGGCAGATAGAGGCTTACAGCTCAAATCCTGAGCCTACTGCTTTCATTGACTTATGGCTCTAGGCACTCAGGTTGGAGGCTTACTGTGCTCCAGACTTTAACTACTAGTACTCTAGCCCTTAACAACTGTTACAGTTCTCAGCTTCCAGCAGCAGTGGGCAATGACAGCAGACAACAGCAAGCAGCAGGAGGTGGCCCCTTCCAGGGTTACAGCTCTTGTACAGGCCTTGGGTGCTGGGACCCTCAGGCCTATAGCAACAAGTGTTACAGCCCTTGGGCCTCGGATATCCGGATCCCTATCCCTTAACACCAACTAGTGTTGCTCTCGGGCCCAAGGTATCTGAGATTCTTGACCCTTAAGGCTTGGCAGCTCCATATAACTCCTCCAGTGACCAGAGTCTGCAGTTTCTCATCTTTAGTTCTTCACTGCCCTTTTTGCCTCCATCACCTCTGCCCTGCCCCCTTTTTTTCTGCCCTGGCCACTCTCTGGAATCCTTTAGCTATCCTCTTGTCACTCTGCCACTGCTGTTGCTCTGCTGCCACTTTCACTGTCCCCAGCTCAACCTGCTTTACTAATGATAAAGATCAAAATATACAAGAAAATACAACTTGAAAGAAGCCTTTATTGGGCTTAATGTTGCAACACCAGGGGGTAGCACAAGATGGTGTCTCTCAGCCAGCTCACATGAGCCAAAGGGCTTGTTTATATAGCCAGAAAGAGGGTGTGGCAAGGGTGTCTGCACCAATCATAGCAGACCTATATGTAAATGAGAGACTGTGTTTGCACCAATCATGATACAAATGAAGGACTGACCTTGTACAATCACAGGCCTTCTGCTTAGACCTCCAGAGGGAGTGCTTTCCTTCTGTACTGGGAAAAAAAGGACTGCAAGGTCAAGTAGAGTTCCAGAAGCTTATCATTAATGGCAAAAAAGTTCAGTACAAGCTGCTTGAAACAGTCAAGGCTGGGGCAGGGCCTTCAGGTGACAGAGTTGTGCTTTGGCAGCAAGCAGCTGTGTTTACCATGTAGCTTCCTCAAGGCCTCCGTGGAGTGTTCAAAGCAGCCAGTATGGGCATAGGGCAGTTTGGTTGGCTGCTTGGCTCACACTTGGCAGCTAGGCACCAGGGAAAGGTCTAACTGCTGTCAGTTAGGGAGTCCAATCACCCCAGCCCCCACCCCCAACATCTTAGCTTATTTAAAAGAAAAATAAACATAACAAACACAAAAATAAAGATAAACATAAGAAAAATAACAGTGACTTAACAGCATTTAACAGAGTTCTAACAAAGTTTAACTTCTGCCCCAGTGCCCCAGGAAGAGGTAGGTCCCTCTAACTTTCTCAAAGCTATTAATCATGAAGAATTTGGGGGGGGGTGTGAGAATCCATTCGAATATTTTTAAAAACTGCTGCTTACATCTTTGCTAAAATTTCTTTTGCCTTTTATTTTTGATAGATTATATAATATTTCAGAAGTTAAAGTAATTTTAAAACAGAAAAAATACATACATAGTTCCACCTGTTCTGCACAGAGACCTTGAAAAAAAATTTTTGTTTGTTTTTTGGGATAGGATTTTGCTATGTAGCTCAAACTGGCCTGGAGTTCTGTCTCTTTCTCTCTCTCTCTCTTTTTTTTTTGCTAGGGTTTGAACTCAGGATCTATACCTTTTGCCATTCCACCAGCCCTACTTTTGTGATGGGTTTTGCAGGATATGGTCTCTAGAGCTATTTGTCAAGGCTTGCTTCAAACTTCGATCCTCCTGATCTCTGCCTCCTGAGTAGCTAGGATTATAGGCGAGAGCCACTGGCCTGGCTTGGTCTGGAACTCTCAATCCTCCTACCTCAGCCTCCTGCATGCTGGAATTAAAGGCAGGAATCACTGTGACTGGCTGAATAGTTTTGAGTTTTCATTCAGGTTTTATCTCTTGAACAACAGCATTCTGCAACTGAACCATGTTCTTCCAGATGTTTTTATTTTTAATTTCTGATTATACACTTAACATTTCAAAAGTAGTAGATGTTCAGTGTAAAAACTTGGAGTCAACATATACTAAGGAAGTTAAAAGTTCTCATTATTCCAAAATCCAGAGACAGTTATGCAATCAGTTTGCAGTATTTATTGTATTTCCTTCCAGTTTTGTGACCATCTGAGTTTTTGTTGTTTTGTTTTCATGGTTGGTTTTGTTTGTTTGTTGTGGTTTTTTTGACACAGGATCTTACTATGAAGCTGGCCTTGAATTTGAGATCTCCTGCCTCAGCCTACCATATGCTGGGATTGCAGCATGCACCACCATGCCTGGTATGATCATTTGTTGATTGGTTGGTTTGATTTTGAGAAAATAGCACTTTGTCATCTTTGGTCACTCTTAAATTTTATTTTTTTTGCTTTTATTCCCTTTCCTTTCTCTACATAGACAACTAAGTTCTATTTAAGGTGTTCGTTTTTGTTTGAAGTAAATGTTTGTTTTTTTGTATGAATATATTTTTAATTTAGGTGTCATGTTGTTTAAGTCTAATTTTGTTTTCTTTGATGTTTTTCACTGAGTACTGTTTTTAAAATGCATTTATGCTCTTGTGCATGCATCTAATCCATAGTTTCTAATTGCTTCCTCACATGTAAAACGTCTAATGTACTTTAGCTATCTACTTTCTCTGTAATAGACAACCAGGTTGCCTCTAAGTTCTCACCACCATAAATAGCACTCTATGACTATTTTAATACTCAATCCCTTACATATCTTCATATCTTTGGAATATATCATAGGTATGTGAGTTGTTAATTTGCATACTTTATGTCCGATTAGTCTCCACAATGGTTGTAAAAGTCCATACTCTTACCCACTACGAGCTTTCAAGTTTCAGTGTCCCATATCCTCACTTCAAGCATCTCATTTTTGTAGTTTAGTATATCTATAATGATGTGTATGTACAATGATGTATATTGCTGTTGTAATTAACATTTCTTTGATACTTTTTTCCATATACCTTTTTTTGTTTGTTTGTTTCTGGGTTGTTTACTTTTACTTTTTGAGGCAGGGTCTTGCTCTGTAGCCCAGGCTGGACTTGAACTGGAAATCCTCCTGGCTCAGCCTCCGAGTGCAGGGATTACAATAGGCATGTGCCGCAATGCTCAGCATCACATTTTCCCAATAAAAGATTTACATGACATGGAACCCTTCAGAAACGAAGACTCAAAACTAACAGAAAAGACTACTTAG